CCCGCTCCAGCTCCAGCCTGGACTCTGCGACCGGGGGCGCCAGGCGGGGCGGGCGGGTGGACGAGTACTTCTGCTGAGGCTCACCTGGTGCACGGCGCCCACACACCTGCTCCGACCCTTCCCCCCACGTGCTCACCTGCTCCTCCACTACACACAACGACAAGAACTAACACCTATTAAAGCGCTTACTATGTGCCAGGAAGTGTTCTAAGTGCTTTATATGCATTAACTCATTTAATTCTTACAACAATCTTTGCAGAAGACACCCCTGCAATTCTCTCCCCATCTTCCTGGAGCAGAAGCAGGGGAATGAAGTAACTTGCTGTGGGGACCCTCATCAGAGGACAACAGAGGTTCAAGGCCAAGTTGCCACGCGCAGGTGCAAAGGCAGGACTCAGTGATGGTTCTGCATGCACTGCGCAGGCGCCTCTGCAACCCAGATGCTGATGTCGCTGTTTGGCAAGAAGCCTCGTTGTCTGAGCTCCTGGAAGAGTGTGTTGCCGTCAGCAGGTGGCTGGCCGGGGTCTGTGCCGCTGCTTTGTGGGCTGCTTTGAAGAACTACTCTGTTTAATGGCTCCTTGTCAGCAATAAAGACCCTCCTGTTCGCCCACGACTTCTCATGTCTTCTCTGGATAAGGCCCGGTCCAAGGGCCTGTGCCTCGCACGCCTGTGCGGCCCTTTTCGCTGCACATGAATGAAGCAGCAGCGCAGGCCCCAAGCAGCGCACTTACATTTGCACAGCCCACAGGTCTGGGAGGGGCAGGTGGCTCTGCCCCGTGTGTCTTATTTGGGGCCCAACATGGCGAGCCGGTGGCCACCTGGGGCAGGCTCCTTTCCCAGGGGGTCAGATGACATCAGAGGAATGTGATGCCTCTCAAACTCTTGGCTTAGAACGGGCACACTGCCCATATTCCATCTGCCAAAGCCAGTGCCATGGCCAAACCCAACTTCCAGGGGTGGAGGACGTTCTCCCTTGGAAGTCATGGTGGCAGCACTATCGGCTGAGCCGTGATCTCATTTACTGCGTTGCCCACAACCTGCAGGCGGGACGTGGCCGCGCGGAAGTTGGCCTGGCAGTGGGTCCCAGAGTCAAGGCCTTCCCGCTGGCATCTGTGCGGCGTGGTGGCGGTGATGTGCACAGAGGCCTCACACAGGCCTCCGTGTGCAGCAGCCGCGTTTGTGCCGTCACACACAGACCCGCAGACACACCAGGCCTCACTGTGGACATTGACAGATTCTAACATTTTTCCTCTGGGCACCATTCTGCCTGGAGAGAATAATTGATTTTCAGTGAGTTCTAGAGATTTGAATGGTGTTCATTTACTCACGAATGTCAGTCTGGAGGGGCCGAGAGGGGCCCGTGTGCGGCCGCGTGCGCCCTGCTGTCTGCGCACAGCTCGCTCTGCCCGTGCAGCAGTGTCTGTGGTGCTTCCTAAACTTACCTTGGCTCCTGGGGGCATCTCCACGTCCCCAGTCGCTCAGGGGCCACTGGAAAGGAAGCCTCCTCAGCTCACTGAGGACCTGAGTGCGGGCGTCCGCAGAAGTTTCCGTGTGTCTCCTCTGCAGCACTGAGCTCCACCAAAGGAGCATTGGGGTATTTGGTGCCAAAACCTTCGGGTAACAACACCTGAGAAGATTTGGGACAGCAAGTGATCCGCGGAAACTACCTGACTAACATCACCTGCAAGACTCCACGTGGTGTTGAACACTCGCTTGATATAACCCAGTGTGATGCTGGGATTTCTAACCTCATTTCCTCTCACATTTACAAAAGACCTTACAACATATGACCTTACAACATATTTTCCTGTTTTCTCTCCTTTGACCCTCACAGCAGTTTATTATAGAGGCTGGGCTACTTGACTGTACAGATGAGAACACTGGAGTCTGAGAGCGGAATGACTTACAGGGGTTGTGGTGGATTTTCTCGGAGGATCCAAGTCTTTGATGACTTTCTGGCCAGCTGAGGGTCTATATTCAGTGTGGATCTCTGCAATGCAGTCCACGGTAGGCTCACTACATGAGTGGATTTTTGGTGCCACTGGAACCCGGAGTCAGAACCAGGAGAGCAGCGGTGCCCGTGAACACAGAATGTCCATACATAGATAACTTTTGCCCATCACCTAGGACTTAAAAGCAAGCACTTCTTAGTATATTAGTATTTATCCAGCATTGTACTTGTGTGTGTGTCTGTGTGTGTATGTGTGTGTGTGTGTGTGTGTGAGAGAGAGAGAGAGAGAGAGAGAGAGAGAGAGAGTTCAAACTTGGTCATCTGGACAAAATAACCCCCAGATGGTCAGCCCCCAACCCCCATAACCATCTTCCCCTTATGTGTTCTGTCTTCTTTGATTTGCTCTTACAGAGGATACTCAGGCTGGATTGTGCTCATGAATATTCAAGTCATTGGAAAAAACAAATTCCTGTTGTAAAAAAATAAAATGATGTCTTGCTTATATATTAGCCTTTGGTGTATGAGTCTGGTTAGTCTGAGTCAGTTCCTGAAAACCTGAAGTTCTTTGAGTCCTGTGAAAAGCAGTTCTGGCCGCCCATGCGGAGAGTCCGCCTGCACAGGGTCCCATAGCACGCTGCCTTCTTTGGAGGGCTGGAATCGTAGCCTCTCGACATGCCTTTTCTGAGTGGTGTGTGGCCATGCTCTCCTTTGCCCAGGAGAAGCTGTGTCTCATGTTACTTATCTGTAATTGCAGTCTAAGTTGAAGGGTATGGGAGGCAAATAAAAGAAATTCTATCCTGGAAGTAGATGTGGGGTATTAAAACTAGTTTTTCAGTCAAGGGACCCAGAGAGCAGTGTGTTTAGAGAACTAGAGCTGGGAAATTTTTTTTTTATTGATGAGAGAGAGAGAGAGAGAGGGAGAGAGAGAGAAACATCAATGTAAGAAACATCAATCAGTTGACTCCTGCACACACCCTGACAAGGGATCGAACCCTGCAACCTGGGTATGTGCCCTGACCAGGAATTGAACCCACCACCCTCTGATGTGTGGAATGACGTTCCAACCAACTGAGCCACACCAGCCAGGGCCAGAGCAGAAAATTTTTGTTTTGACTATCATATAAGCCAGTAGAGACAAAAAATCAACTTACAAGTATTTGAGCATATTTTATTTGATTGCAAGGGCTTTTTAAAAGCCAGTATAGGTTATGTTTATGCTGTGCTAACAATTCCCAAATTTCAGTGGTTTAACATAGAAATATGTGGTTTTGCTCTCACAGATCTACCTAAGTCAGGAGGGAAAGTGCACGAGGGGAGGGCTCTGCTCCACCCACTCAAGCAGGGGCCAAGGCCGATGACCCCACCACCTGGAATGTCAGCTATGGCTGCAACAGGGAAAGGAGAAACTGGAGGAGCATGTCGGGGCTTTTAACATTATTTGCTCTAACATTTCATCAGCAAGAATATTAGTCCCATAACCTCCCTGTTTCAGGCATTGGGAACATAGTCTTCTGTGGGTCCATCCAGGCACAGGCACGCCACAGAGCCTGGGTACCATCTCCGACACGATGGCCAGCGTGGGGGAGGGAAGGGCATCAGCTTGAGGGAGATCAAGGGCAGCATGTCATTTCTTACGCGTCACTTAGTCTCTGTCCGAGATGTCCCAACGTCCTGCCAATTGACTAGATCAGAAACTTTCTGATTAATATTCTATTAAGACAAGCCAGGGAGCTGATACCCAGAAGCCATTTCTATCTAATTATTTCATAAACACAAAGTAAGTTCTTTCTTATACTCTGTCTCTACCATGATAAGAGCCCAATTCCTAAAGGCATCTTGCAGGGAGAGAGGTGGGGACTAAGGTACTCAGACTCCTTCCCTTTGTTGTTGAATCTATTGAGTTTAGAGACACCACTTAACCACTCGCTATTTTAGAAAAATAATATAACCCGAGTAACTTTCCTTGTCCTAGTCTCCTGCCTTAACTGACAACACAGCTCCTCCGAGGCCCTGCGGAGGGCGAGGGGCCAGCAGACGAGGGAGCGGAAATGCCAGTGGTTCCAGACATTTCTCACCAGCGGGTGTGCTGAGCTAGACTCATTTGAAGAGACTAATACGGGATGAACAGAGAAAAAATTGTGGGGGTGGAGAGCTCTTTAGGCCCTTATATTTTGGGGTGAGAACAGAATTCATAGTGGTTTCTGATACCCACAGAGTAAAACACATTTTTTTCCAGGAAGCAAACCTGACAAAACCTTGGCCAACCTGGTGGGGGCTCTGGAATGCGAGTCGCCCATCGGTGTTGTCCTTGTCGGGTCACACTGCCCATGCCGCTGCCCGCACCACCTCAGTCCCTGCCTGGGGCACATTCGGCAGGAATGACTTCTGCACACACTCCTGGCCAGTGAGTACCCACTCACTCCTGGAGGGGTCCATTCACCCCAGCTCTGTGCCCACAGCACGTCCTGCTTTAATTCTTACCTCATGAGGGACTTGGAGACCTGGCAGCTCACAGGGTTAGACTGTGAACCCGGCAGGTGTGTCTGCTCGGATGGAAAGCTGGGGTGGAAGCAGCTTAGTAAGGACCCACTGCTCCCCTCACTGGCTGCTCACTGAGGCATTGGCAGGGAGCTGTGTGTGTCCTGAGTCCTAGGGGAACCATGGGACCTCAATATTCATCAGGAAGTGCCCCAGGTAACAGGGAAGGAGAGTCTGTTGGTGTGGGAGGGGAACTGAAATTTATTACTCAAGGGTGGTGAACACACAACACAAGTGATGGAGTGCTGCATTCTGGGTACTCTATTCTACATAATCGCAGAGTTGCCTAGAAGCACTATGAATGTGTATTAATTCCCTCACTTTGCAGAGGAAAGCTCGAGGCTCACAGAGGTTAAAGGACTTTCCCAAGGTGTTGTGACGGGAGGCTGAGCTGGAAAGAAGGCCATGGGGCAGCGTCTGCACAGGGCTGCTCACCACTGCGTCCCTGCCCCAGCAGGTGTGTAGCTTGGAGCAGATGACCAATAAATATTTGTTGACTGAGTGATGCGTGGCAGAACAAGTACCCAAGAATCACATATGCATCACTTTAAATGTAGGCCTTTCCTTCTTATTATGGGAAATACATAGCATTCAGGAGAAGTTGTGAGATCCAAGATTAAAACACACACGTTTTAGTTTGATCAGAAAACACAGCCTGTGGTCTGGTCTGCCTTCTGCACCACGATACTTCCCTGACCCTGGTCGCCACGGGCAGAGGCAGCTGTGTGCAGTGGAGGCAGGACTCAGCCAAGCCAGGTGTGGGAGGGAACCTTTCAGGGGCGGGGCGTGGTCACAGGATTACTTGTCACCCATCACCTGCATTCATTTTTAGAGGATGGTTGGAAATTCTAGGTTTCAGGAACCAATTGTGATTGATGAAGTATTAGATGAGTTTTAAAAAATATTTTTATTGATTTCAGAGAGGAAGGGAGAGGGAGAGAGAGAGAAACATCAATGATGAGAATCACTGATGGGCAGCCTCCTGCATGCCCCACACTGGGGATCGAGTCTGCCACCCGGGGAAGGGGCCCTGACAGGAATCGAACCATGACCTCCTAGTTCATAGGTCAACGCTCAACCACTGAGCCACACCGGCTGGGCTGGATGAGTTTTAGCCAAATCACCTGATCCATGATGCTCAGAGTTCTCGGCCTCCTCCCACTCCCGCTCATTCTGAAAGAAAGCTCACTCCTTAAAGCCTGAGGCATCGCTCCAGCACAGTGCACCTGCTGGGGTCTCAGATCTTTTTGCAAGAAGTGGAGGGAAGGCAGTATCAGAACAGAATTGGACATCTGGCCTGGAGTTTGCCTTCGAATTCAAGACCCAGACAAAGGGTGAGCTTTCTGGCCTTAGTTCCCTGACCAGGTTCTTACTGAGCTTGTGGTTGGGGCCACAATAGACCTTATTGTATCCAGAGGCTTTTCAACGGCTGTGCTGACCTACATTGCCATGGGTCACCAATAATAGGATTTGCCCCTCGGAAGCTGGGACTGTCTTATTCAAAATTCCCAAGGTA